ATTTAATAGGTATATTCATTCATTTTCACTATCAGTTTTACGTTTATGGTATTCTAGTGAATTGAAACTTTTAAATCTGCTGCTCAGATTTCTCCGTAAGCCTTCGTCCAAGGTGCTCCACCAATCAATCATTCTGAAATCGTAAACACCTTTATATGGAATGAAACATTTCGGTACTATAGAAAGAGAGAGACGAGCCGACTTACTCCGTCGCTACTTGTTCTCGAGTTTTAATGTGAGCTGCTAATGATATGACAAACTGCTTCAGCTGAAATACATGTTGGAGACTCAATCGTGGTTTTCCCTTAGAATCAGTTAGAAATATTAGGAAAATTCAGAAGATTTGTACACAGTTAGATTCACAATGAGCACGGCTATCGACTGGTCTAATTTTCAGATCATTTCAACCACTTCTACGGAAGTTATGGCAATGCGACGGTTTGCGACGGATTAATCCGTCGCAAACCGTCGATTTTACAAAAATTAGGGGCGGTATTGTAGGTCCGACTAATTTCGTAGAATGATGAATGCTTTGTCATCCCAAAAAGCCTCAAGGAGCAGAACAGGAGATAATTGTGTAGACTGGGGGTAGGGGGATAGGATACAGTGCTTCAATTTTTTGAAAGGTCCCTTCAAATGTGTGTTTCGCATCAACACAAAAGATGTGCAGCAAAGCTGGCCTTGCCGCCTTTCCTCGGACAGTTTCTGCGAGTTAGTGGAGCAGTATGGCACAAGCTGTGACATGGTGGGAGAGAGCTTGCAACGGCAGATGGTGCTACAGTGTCACCCATGAATCTCAGGAATCAGACAGGAGCCCTTGTACTATTCGACTTGCGTAGGCTGGTCTTCGCCGAGAAAGCTATGCAGCATACTGTGAATTACAGCGCGTATCATGAGTATAGACCCACTCCCAAAAAGCTCCAAAAACGGTTTCGAAGATACTCTCATGGCAGCAGGTTGATGCCGATAATCACGGAGGCTCCGAAATCCACAATTTGCAACAGTACTTCTTAATTTTGAAATATGATAGGATATTCGGACGTCGAGCTGTTCTCAGGCCGTTCATAAGTGTAGATACACTTGAACAGCCAGGGATCTTCTGTATGGAAACAAACAATTAACGACCTTTTAATAATTAATTGGTCCACTATTTTTAGAAATAGTCTCAGAAATGCGGTTTGGCATCGACTCCACCAGCGCAGCGTCAGAAACTGGGAAAATATAGATGTCGACTCAACGTTCCCAGCGTTCGCAGGCGTCTACCAGCGTCTCGAGGGCCTGGGTAGCATGGGTATCAACCTAGCGTCTACCAGCGTGTGCCAGCGTGCATTAGCGCCCACCAGCGTCCGGGAGAGTATGGCGCGATAGGAGGGTACCAGCTGTCTGCTGCCCTCCTACGGCGCCATACTCTCCTCTCCCGGACGCTGGTGCACGCTGGCAGACGCTAGATCGATACCCATTCTTCTCAGGCCGTCGAGACACCGGTAGACTCTGGTAGACGCTGGCGAACGCTGGGAGACGCTAGTGGGCGCTGGTGAACGCTGGCAGAGGCTAAATCGATATCTACACTTTCCCAGGTCTTGACGCTGCCTGACGCTCGAAACGCTAATGGACACTGCCTCAGTGTAGGAATGCAGCCTCATGCCAAAGCGTCGCTCTTACGGAACAGCTCTGCTAATCCGTAAGGCTGCGTTTATACTTTGCGGCAGCGTTGCAGGCTAGCAGAACGCTGGTGAAACGCTGGCGAAACGCTGGGAGCGCTAGATCGATAGCGCTGGCGTAACGCTAGAATACTCTAGCGTTACGCTAGCGTACGCTGGTGACGCTGGGAACGCTAGATCGATATCTATCCTTTCCCCGACACTGCCGCTGGCGTACGCTGGAAAGCTACGCTACGCTGCCGCAAAGTATAAACGCAGCCTAATGTGCAGGTATTCAGCGGCTACTCTTGAAACGAATAACAGGAAAGGAATAGCATTTTTATTTTCTTTGAACAGCGTGTAACACGTGAAGGCAAGATTTCATGAGAGAAAAAAATCAACAACCAGGATTCTTGGAATGAACACTGAGACTTCTAGGCCAAACAGAGTACAAACCGTACTTGCTGTACCCCAGTCTGGGCATGAAAATAAAACAAACAGATCTGCGCAGTATGACGGTTCCTCAGTTGTGGCCAAGAAATGAAAAGGACTCGTGTAGATAAGCACTATATTTACACAGTAATAAGCGCCTTCCAAGGTATATCATGCGAAGAAAGTACTGTTACATTTGGCAGGTGCCTGTAGGCATAAAATAGAAATAATGGAAAGTTCACTTGGCAGCAGTTCAGTCCACGAGCTTCTGATGGACGGGCTCTTTTCGGCAGTTCAATGAAAAGATCGATAGCATACAAATCAGTAACGTCGAGGCAAAAAGGGATAAAAGAGATCCAGCGGCGAGCGGCGAAATGCAAACGTCTCCACCACGTTTTTGTTGTTGTTGAGATGCAGTTGGAGCTGAATTTTTTGCAAAATTGGGGGACTTCTTCAAATGGTTATACTGATAGCCATCTACGGGAACAATGGAGATTTTTTAATTTTTTGAACATGGCAGACCTGTGGCGTCATCGATATCAAAGACAGTCATATGTTGAGATATGACATCAACGTTGTTCTCTTCTGAGTCCGTGGATCGCTTTCCACGTAGAGTCTTTGGACAATCATCTGATGAACGCTGAAAAACACCAAACTCAAAGAAATGTTTACCATACAATACTATATTATCGAATTAAGACCATTAACAACAAAGTGATTACTAGGAATAAACAAGGAAGGAATCAGGCATCGCAGGCCTAAAGTCCTGTCGTAGACAGACTTCGCTCGCTCGTACGAACAATCGTTCGATGCGAATTTTCGCCTCCCTGAAGCCTGTTCTAAAGCGAGCCAGGATTTCTTAGGGTTCATACTTTGCGGCAGCGTCTGCCAGTGTCTTGAGGGCTAGGGGAGTATAGGTATCGATCCAGCGTTTGCCAGCGTCTACCAGCGTCCACCAGCGTTCACCAGCGACCGGGAGTAGAGAGTATGGGGAAGTAGGAGGGTAGCAAACAGCTGGATTAGGCGTCGTGAAATTGCGGCGTGTGCAACCGCACCGTACAACTACACTACACCGTACATTAAATTGCATAATTCTGTGCTTTAGCAGTTGTGCGAGCGATCACACGCCACAATTTCACGCGCCTAATCCAGCTGTTTGCTATCCTCCTACTTCCCCATACTCTCTACTCCCGGTCGCTGGTAAACGCTGGCAGACACTGGAGCGATATCTATATTTTCCTATACGACGCTACCGGACGCTCGGAACGGCAGTGGTCACTAGTGGACGCTGGTAGACGCTGATGGACGCTGCCGCAAAGTATGAAGGCAGCCTGAGTGCTATGAGCGAAGTCTTTTTTTCTCTACACCCTGCATGAAGCAATGCCGAAACAGAAAATGTACCTTACAGACGGGCCCTTCCTTTAGACTCAATCGAATCTGGCATTGAAAGAACAGTGAAGGCTGATCAGCAAATTTGAAAACCTGAAAGTTTACAGTTAGGAGGAGTTCTTCAGAAAATGTTTGACTAAGTAATAAACCTGCGACATTTGTCCACCCGTCAGGTCCGATGTATACTCAAGGTTGTTAAGAAGGTACCTGGAAATAGTCAAAAATTGAATGGGTTGGTCTCCAAAACGAAATAGAGCTCAATGGCTCTTTTAAAGTGATTTGCTGTAAGATCAAGTTCCATTTTTCAGTGGTGGTTCATGTGCCAACCTTCTTTTTACCACAGCTCGTATTTGCTCGTTATTGGGAGAGAGAGGGGGAGGGGTCGTATTTGGACTCTGGTTATTGGTTGTTGACTTTTCGTGGTTTTTCCTGCTTCGCATGGGTTATATCCTCCCACGCTCGACAGGTCGATCGGGTTAGGAGAGGTGGGGGGTCGCATCAAGTCACCCTATTAGGGGAGGGGTTGTACGAACTCGACCAAAATCCCCAACTAATGATGTAACCTGCTGCCAATCAACATGTGCGTTGAACCAGTTCAAAACCTCTGGGATACTATATCTGTGAGAGGCTTCAGACAAGTAGATACCAAGCGTGAGCGCACCACCGAGTGTCTCCCACTTTCAGTACACGCTTAAGACAATCGCTTCTCTCCATTCTTTCCCTTTGCTCGGAAATAGGTTACTAATAAAAGTGTTTGGTGGCATTAGTCTTGAACTAGAAAGCCATGAAACCTCTTAAATGCCTCTTAAATAATGCTGGAATGTTGCCAGTTATAAAGATAAAGTTTCAGACCAGTTGTATCTCATGCTAGAAATTTACCTGTCGACAGCACAACCGTTTTCATCGAGCAGTTGTACTTCTCGACCTCCTTCTTCACGTACGTTGCACGAGTGTACGGTTGCACAAAAGCTGGAATCCGCTGAAAAACGTGCTGATTAAAGGAAGCCCGACACAGTTCTCGAACTTTGAGGGGCGAAGTCAAGCATGGAGGACTACACGATTCTATATTGTTTTTGATATATCTTTGTGATACACAGAGACTGCCGGACTGTTGGACATATGCCACCCATTCGCTGACGAAAAATTTCCCGAATAACCGATTTCTTGGATACTATCTAAACTAAGTAATTACTTATTAACCGCACTTACGGAGGTGCCTTACTTCAGGTGTTATCGTACTACCATTCCTGCGTATTCGCGCTCATCAGAGCACTTTATAGCGACACTATACATCGCTATTATACCCTCTCGTCATCCGGGTCCATTGATTAGGGCCGGTCGTACCGGGCCCGCTGGCAGGAACTATTTGCTTTTTCCACAGCTAATTTAGTCATTTTTTCCAACTTTTCACTGTTTTGGCTACTTTTTCCCAGATTAGCAGCTCCTTATCTTCACAAGGTGGAAAAAATGACTAAATTAGCCTGGTAACACTTGCGAATATCTCAAATAGTTCCCTGTTGTCCTACGCGCTGCGGCCCGTCGACGACTACCCTAATCAACTGCCGGATGACGAGGTTAATTTATGTTTGAAAGGCGGGGTGTGTGTAAACAGATGTGAGCAGTGGAACACGTGCTCCTACATACTGCCCGCACATTTGTGAACTCCTAGTAGAGGAAAGCGTGATAAGAAAGGAGGTGGTGAAACGTGGATTCTGTCTGAAGTTCACCCTTCAGCGAAAACATTTTTGATCCGCACTTTTGTGGAAATGCGACTATTACTGATCATACTATCAAATTTGACTTTATAATAGACCTTCAGTTTTTCCTTGTGGATCACAAGACCATTCGTGGTAAACCTGTTGACCGACCGAGGCGAACTTCAATGGAGTTCCATCCTTTCCTCCTTCGAGTACCTGCAATATTTTCTAGTCAAGTACATACTTAGACAGCATCTCATGTTTGTAAAATAGGGTCAACGAGTAGACTTTTGGATGACTTGGCTGAATACATTCTTAGAGACAGTCCCCCGCTCAAAGTGATTCGTGGGCATCCTTCCTAGTCTGGCCCCCACCTTCAATATTATCTAGGTTTCGCGGCTTCACAGTAACGAGCGTAGGTGCTGTAACCGTCACAAATGGCAAGTCCGACGCCTCCCTAGTTGTCCCGCTCATCAAAACGCAAGGACTATTTTCTGTCACGAGTTCAGTTTTTAGCCAGTGGTTTTCGTTTTTTTTTTCTTAACTGTTAGATAGTGTTAGCATTGCATGACGCGAAGAAACTAGTAAGCCAGAGGACAGGATATCGCTTTTACTGGAATAAAACGAGCAGGGCCTTAAAGCTCCTCCAGAGAAGCTGACGGACCCCTACTCCGGGTGTTCTCCATTTTTTTTTTTTCTCTCCTTCTGAAAGTCCTTTAGCGACTATGGGTTTCTTACCGAACGTCATTATCCACAGTACCTAATCGCGGGGTTTGTCTTCGAGGCAACCGGGGCCAGATTCCAGGTTGAAGGGATCCAACAAGACAGTTCATTCAGGGCATAAACGCTTTTCCAAAACAAATTGCAACTCGTAGTGGAAGAACATGGTGAGGTTTTCCGTGAAGCAGATTTCAAAGAAGCTAAAGAGTGGTGAACAGAACTTCGATGATTCAAATACGCATGACAAAATTTCAGAAGCTGCAAGTATTATTTCCCCGAAATCATAGACTCACAAGATTAGTCTCCACTGTCGATCAGTGTATTTCCGGGGTGCGGCACGCATTTCACTCCCATTCAGAGTCGTAGTGACTTATTGAATACATGTGGCCTATACGATGACTTGCGGCAGCCAGCCGATGTACAAGTCAGTGTTTTTAACCTCCCAGACGTATCTGGTTCTAATTTGAAGCCCCAGAAGGGTAGAAGGCTTGGTTGGCCTGGCTGGAAGCCGGCATGGGATTACCCTTGGACAGTGCTCATGTAGCCTCGTAATCACGTTGGTCAAAGTTCTGTATGGAGAAAAAGTCCTCAAAAATACCCGAATTCCCCGTCCAGGAACAAATACATATGCTTTGAGTCACCGAAATCTTGGTAAACTCGCAGAACATTTCACCAACAGCTCTTCCTAGCATTCCCAGAAGAGCGTATGAGGAACGAGCTGCACTATTATCGTTCACGCAAGTAACCCTACAACATGAAGCAAACAGTTTCGAAAAAAAAACGCTCCATTACATGGAAGACCTCCTTGTGAGGGCTCGCACCACATCGTAGCTCTCGCCACCCCAAAATGAGACTGCGCTGGAACCATAAAGCCAAAGTACCTATGCTCTCTTAGCTCGCGAAATCAGAAGCCATGACCTACTTCCCATATAGTAGCAAAAATAAAATCGTATTACTATGATAAAAATAAAAAAAATTCTGACCAATATAGTAAAAAGACTACACGTTGTCTATAACTGATTACATTACATCAGCCGTCGTCGTGAGGGGTGAATGAACCTCTCCGGCTACCTTGCTCTCCAACGGTGGTGCCGCGTACGGCTCATTCCATTCCTGTTGGAACCGCCCCGAGTGATAGCGACGATATCAGCTGTACACCTAATACTTTGTCAAAGGAGCTCCATGAAGCGGTCCAGCCTTCGAAATCTACTGATGTGAAAAGGACGGCTCAAGTGACAGTATCGGAGAGGATTCTCTACTACAAAAACGAAACAAAAGAGGCGTCAACATTCGCTGCAAAAAATCCAAAGATCCAAAAGAATACTGAAAATTCCGCGAGAAATTTTTATTTTTATGCATTCCCTTAGATATTTCGGTGCTTAGCACCTTTCTCAGCAATCTGAAATACTGCAGATGGGACTTTTCAGCTGCCTTCAAGGGACCGGTACCCTTCTTTGGTGTGAAACGGCTATCCTTGCGGGAGCCGCGCCTCGAAGGACCGAACCGAAGTATTCGAAGGAAGAAATAAAAATAATATCTCGAAAACTTCAGATTCTTTTGAGTCTTTGGAGTTTCTTGCAATAAATTTAGGTCCTCTTTTGTTTTATTTTTACATTCAGTTTCCAACGAGGCTCCGGGACTGCACAATACCCCGAAATATTTTTTGACATTTTTCGTGAGTGACGGAATGAGCGACCACTCCATTCGAGTTTTACCCTGTGCCGCGCCTAGGTACCCCAGAAAACTAGGTTTATTTCACACGATTCCCCGACTGGCAATATCGGTCAACCAGGTGTTATCTCAGTATTAGCAAGGCCATAGCTTATTTTATCCCGCCGCCTAGCGATACTCTATTAAAATCGGTGAACTTTGCTCGTGCTACTTAGATCCGCTGAGCGATTTGTTACGTGAAATCAGAAGGACATACGGCTCTCACATGTAGGCGACTATGAGTCACCTTTAATTGAAAATGCTCCGAAGGTCGATTCAAATTAAAAGGCGCGTCATGGCTCACCAAGGACATCGTTTCCACGCATGAAAACAGGCGCGCCACAGATAAAATGCATTGTGTGAAGATCGTTTGATGAGTTGGAACCGTATGCCGATCTTTCACAACATGACGGCTCTGACTGATACCTCTGTAGGAAGACATGGGATCATACTCGCTAAATTACAAATCAAAAAAGTCTACGCGGCTTTGTAACCGGTTTAATTGTGTAGTTGTGGTTGGTAAACCACTTTGGAAAATAAAAAAAAATTTGAGCAAAAAGCGCTTAACAGTGGAAATCAACTAAAGATTCCGGTTCTATGGGTGGATGACCTAAAAAAACTCAATCCTTCTGGGAAAATTGTCATGCTCAGCGACGCGGTACCAAAAAAGTATGCGAGGGCCGTTCAAAGTATTCTCGGTGCTGGGGAATTTAGCAGTAAAGAGGGAATCTGAATCTTTTATAGGTCATGACACTCCCTGAGGGTATAAATACAAAATTTCATTTAGTTATCATCAATGCTATTCTAGTTATCCTTGGTGAAAGAAGACCAGAATGACTGATGCGACAATGTTGAGAAAATGATTACTGATAAAAAAACTGAGAAAAACAAAAAATAATAGAAATGGAAACAGACGTCAGCGAAATGATTTACCAAGGCATGCTGAGTTTGTGCGGCAAAAGGCCGCTGCCCAGGCAAACCGCACTTCACGCTTTCGCAGTGCATAACGCGAATAAGCGCCTTGGCCCGAGATTGAGCTGTGCGGGTTCGACTCCCGCCTGGGGCACGACTTTTGCCCACAACTCAGCATTCTTGTGATAACATTCGGAACGCGTACTGCGGCGTTAAACAGCAGTTATCATAACAAAACAGCTTCAAAATCAGTGATTACTTCTTGTTCCCGAGCCAAAAGAAGATCTTTGTGGAAAGCGTTTTTCTCACGATGATGAGCTGAAGGCGGCAATTGACTCACGTTTCGTGGACAAGGAGGGAAAAATTTTTTTTTGAAAATGTTAGTTTCCCGAGCAAACAAGTGTATTGAGGTTATAGGGGATTACATTGAAAAATGAATTTTATTCAGAATTTTCTGCCTTTTCCTTTATACCTTATACCGAAATACATTGAACACCCCCGTAGATTTCATTTTCTGTGGAAAGCAGATCACGGGCTATGCGTTGCAGTGATCTTAGGGAAATTTTGTGGAAACGAATTTTCACGGGAACTCCCACAGCGATAGTAAACGGCACCACAAATTCTAGAGTGAAATGGTACCTTACTAAGGATATCACGTAAAGAGATGTTTGCCCAACTGTGCACCACTGACAGTACACTGCTGGGCAGGCTTCTCTCTAGGGCAGCGTTCACACTTCGCGATGGCAGCGCTTCGGTCGCGCGTTCGACGCGATCGATGCAGTCGAAAGCATGCGCATCGATCGTCGAATCGCGCGACCAAAGCGCTGCAGTCGCGAAGTCTGAACGCTGCCTACTATGACTTTCTTTTTACTTCTCTTAGTCCCCAGTAGTTCGTGCCATTACTAGCAATGCTCATCGCCACCCATTACGCTAAACGTTTGAACTCCGATAAAGTATGCTAGGAGTAAAGCTGAAAATTGATGGCCTGTGGTGTTAGCTTTTGGTGATACAAGGTATAAGCGCGACAACGGAATAGCACAACTGAAAGTGTAAGGTCCACCCCCCCTCCCCAAGTTAACACCCCTAGGATAGCTACTCACTCAGCACAATTGGAAGATCTTGTCAGACGATATCTTCTGAAGGAAATGTTGATTTTGCAGAAAAAAAACCAGCGAGTGATTACAGCCCTTTGTTCTCATTAATTGGATTACTCACCAAAGCGGATAGGAGCCAATCGAACGGACAAGCCTCTTCCCACATTTTTAGCTTTTGAATACGATTCGGCTGGGATAATGACTTGAGACGGTGATAAGATGTGCAAGCCAGTGTTCTCCTGCTACAGGAATATTCCGGTCAGGACACACCCTGCCTAGGGGAAAAACTTGTAAAATACGACTCCTTCCCTTAAAACTCCTCCTCTAATACGACCCCCTTTTCCATCCGCTGTCCTGCCTACCACCTCACTCATTTTCCCCAACTTCCTAGCACTTTTTCTTCAAAAATTTCAGGGAAAGGTTATCAGCGCACTTGAACAAAAAAGTCAGAACAGTCACAACCGGGAACTTTTACCTCGAAAGCAAGTGCGACGCCTCCCTCCAGCGACCAAAGAACGCCCCCTCCACCCCCCCTCCCCCCTCTCTCGCTGGATATTCCAACGCCCGAAGCGCTCTGATTCGGGTACTAGGGGCCGACCAGGGATGGAAGGCTTCGCGCGAGAGTCAGTTGTGCGCTATCGAGCTCGTGAAAAGCAGGATCACATGTCACTACACCACCGTCTCAAGGGCTAGCACTCAAAAGAGAACTGAAGAAAGCTTACATTCCTAGCAGGGTTGCCTGCTCAGAGGCAGAGTCCGCGTTCATTTGATGTTCCCACGCCTTCTATGGTTATCGTAACTCTTCGTCTAAGCATCAAGAATATACCGATTTGATTTCGCGCCTCAACAAGACGACAGCAATAACGAGCGGAAAACTCCGCTCACTCGTGAAGAAGCTGCAGCCCCGCCCTTCGGACTGCTACAACGGGGTAGGTAAACGGGGCGGCTTCATCACCAACGAGCTACTGAAAGAACGTAGATTTTTCAAGGGTATGTCATAATTGGCACACTAACGATGAAAAGTACCATATGCCTTAGATAAGGTCAGCAAAAAAGAGCCCCAACAAATCACGGTTATCAGGGTTTGACGGCGAAGTCAGCACTCGTCCCGCTCAGTGGTACTGTCGTGGAGCTGCTCGCTACGAAATGGCCGCGGACTATGATCCCGTTGGTTCCACGTAGAAAGCGACAGGTTTTTCCGGGTCAGCAATTGAAGGTTTAAAATGGTTGAATGGTTTCTAAGATGGGTTCTGATTTATGGCATCGTCGTCAAGAATACTTGATTCTTCATCACAAACTTACAGAGCTTTGAAAAAGACGCTGTGATCAAAGGAACCGCTTTGAATAGAACGATTAAGTAAGAATTGATTTCCCCAGTACCTCAATTAGCGTAATGAATCCCCTTATTATTCACGAAAGGAATTGCCTTACTACCTACGCTAGTCTTTTTTCATTCCCAACTATCTAGGTCAATGTTCAAGGCAATTTCAATGGAATGTCATAAGTTTTCACTAAATTCCTCGTGCAGCGTACCGTCGGAAAGTGCCCCGTAAAAAGTCGACCTTGCTTGTGCTACCAAAAAATGAAGGCACTCTTTTTCCTGTCTATTTACGTAGGCGAGTTTGGTTTCCGCATTCATAATGATAAATATGCAGTAAAAGGGGCAACTTCTCAAGATGAATGACCATGTGGACGC